GACTGAAACTTCTGAGACTATGAATCCAAATAAATCTTTCCTCCTTTAAGTTGTTTTTCTCAGGTTACTTTGTCATAGCAGTGAAAAGCTGACAAACACACTGGCTTTCCATATATCCCTGAAAGTGGTGATTAGGACTCCTTTGCAAAGGAGTCCTAATTCCAAAGGAAGGAATCTACCCACTCTCTCTCAATAGGGTAAACTTGCTTTCTTTCTCAGGTTAGGTTCCAGGATATTTGGAAATAAAACAATTTTTCCCCCTAAGCCCCAAATGGAAGAAAATTAACAAGTATGTATTTCCCTCTGTGCTTTTGTGCATTTCAAGCCTGTAATGGGGTTTGCTTCAATTTTTTTTAAATAATCAAGAGTTCAGGCAATTAAGTGGTTTCCCAACATCAAACAATTCAATAGTGAGAACTTATTACCACTCATGTCTCTCAGTGTTTCAAGGAAAATTTCTCCATTCATGTTAATTTGTTATCTCAAATGTGTTTTAAAATGAGCCTTAAGTGTACTATTTATAAGTAGGTGACAAAATTCTTTTAAAACTGCTTGAATAATAGGAAAAAAATGACATGCCTTTTAGAAAAGAAAATGGACCATAATAATATGAGGGAGAACATGGAAGAATGGATGTAATGGTTAGAATTAAAATGACGTCTGACAATTACTTTCAATTTGAACTGAGGTGAAGAAAATCAGAATTACAATACTCTTATGATTAAACTTTGATGAGATGAAAATGTCATCATTGTTTGATGAGGATTTTTTATTTGAGTTCAAAGAATATGAATGATTTAACCACAATGTACCAACACCACAGGGCTGAATAATCTATATTGGTATTTCTCAACTCTTCCTTATTGCAGGTCACTAGAGAAATCTCAGCTGCTCTCATTCTTCAGTTCTACTGTTTCCATAATATCAGCTTTTGGAACAACGAGATAAAACTCAAGTCCTTTGTGATAAGTTTTGACATTGAAACCTTGGAGTAGCTTAATATGGTGAAGTATTTCCAGGAACCATGAGATTTAGCCTCATAACCTTTTTTTTTTTTTAAAGAAATAAATTTTAGGGACTAGATTTCTTGAAAGAAAAGGGGGAGGCTTTGATTTGCTTTTGCTTTCATGGCTGAAAATCAAGATGTAGTGAGTCCTTTCGTCCTACAGGAAGGGCTAACTATTTCTCTTGCCCTGACATTTTAACAATTAAAATTGAGATAAGGGTTTATGTTTGTCAAAGACGATGCATAGCCCAATTCTCTTTGGGGCACTAACTACAATAGAGGATGACAAGAGCATGCTGATTTAGCACGGGGACTTTTCCTTGTACAGGGGCAATTGCTGTTTTAGTAATTCCTGCTCTGGGGATGGGGGCAGGAGAGCTAGGAGACCCTCTCTGCCTATTTCACTGTTACTGAACAATTAGTGTCCTTCTCTCTCCCTCTTCCTTTTTTTTTCTTTTTCCCCCTCTGGGAGCCTAAAATTTAAGCAAATAATTTTCCATTGTCATTGGTAATACATTTTTAAAGATTTATTTATGTATTGTGTCTTTTGCCAGTCTGGAGTTGACATATTTTGGGACTGAGGCTACAGTCCTGCAGTCTAGAAACAAGGAGGTAATAGGTATATTCAGTCTTATTTTAGACAGACAAATCTTTTTCTTATTGAAGGAGAAAGTACTGATAACAGTCATTCCATCCAATTATTTCCCAAACTTGTTGCCAGTGTGACAAGGTTACAATTTCACCCACTCAAAAAATACCTTTGCTTTGTTTTATTTTTTTTTTAAATAAAATATAAGCAGTCTTTTAACTCTACAGGCTGGTTGAGGTAAGTAGTCATACAGTAGCTCAGATTATTGCCAAACACATTTACTGATGTCCTTATTAATATTTCACAAAAACAAATAGATGTGTGATAAATATATTTAATTTATTAGAATCCTCTACAGATCCGTGAACAAAATGGGCACTCGAGTCCATGTGGATTGGATGATTAATAGGTTTATAAGGATTAATATACTTATTGACAATGCAAATTGGGATGAGGGATTAAGCCTCAATGAAGGGTAAAGAGAAATTGTCCAATTAGGTAAATTAAAGAACTAGTTTTGAGCAAATTGTGGAGGATATATTGTGTAAGAGTTTTCTGTCCCACCTTTGCTCATAATTAGTGAGCGGAGAGTTTTCTTCAGCATTCAAGTCCTTTTCAAAAATAAACTTACACTGTGAGTTTTGCTGATTTATTTTTGTGGCATTTGCACTTGAGCGTTTAAATCTTCCTTCAGAGGTGGTCGAAATGATAATCACAGATTAGGTCGGCAACAACTGAAAGGTTCCAGTGTATTGCAATCTCCATTGGATATGAAAAATCAAAGGCTTGGGAAAAAGCAGATAATGAAAGTTGGCACTACTGGCACCCACAAACAGCCCAGCACAGAGACCCTGCAGGGTGGTGGCTGAGAGCAGAGAGCAGGCTGCCTGGCCTCCCATGCCATTTCTATCACACAAGTGCCCTGTGACTTTGAAGAAGTTATCTACCTTTAGACTTGTTCCTCATTTGTAAAACAGGGAACATACCTACAGTATTATGAGCACTGCTTACCTCATAAGGTTCCTATGAGTGCAGAATAGATGCTGGACAATGGAAAGCTACATTGTTATTATTAAAATGCAGAAGATTGAGCAAATATGCAAATATGCAATTAATCCTCAACTTTGAGTCTTTGAGTCTTTCCTGGATCCAGTGAAAAAATCTTAAATAGTGGTCTTGGATGATATTTTCCTAAGAAAAAAAAAAACCCTCCATTTCCTAAATTATCTGAAGTTCCAAGTAAATCCATAGTAACATTAACCCCATCCCCCATCTCTTATCTGATATTTTTTCTAAAGTCTGTAACACCCCCTCTAGGGCTGCAGTATTTTATTAATTAATTTATTTTCTCATGGTGGTGTGGTACAATGAGGAGTCTCTATAATAAGAATTTTTTATTGAAGGGAAATGTGGCCAATGGTAAATAAGGTTGATAGATGATTGGGAGAACTTTGTGTGATTTAGGGGAATTATGTGGGGGATTGGGATTAATTGGGGTTCCAGTTTCTGCTATGCTATTAGATATGATTTGGGGTAATTTACTTATTGCCCTTGACCCTTGGTTTCTTTATCTTTGGAAATGGGAATGATAGTAATACATGCTTTATAATGATCGAGAATGATACTGAACGATGCTAAGGCCCCGTATATATGTGCTAATAACTGATAATCATTATAATTAATTCATTTTTTTCTTCCTTTCTTACCCTTGGTTAATATTTTCATAATCCATAGCTTTTCTGTGTAAAGTGGATCTTGAAGGGGGAAAAAGGAATACAGGTTATGATTTCCTTTTGCTCTCAGATTAAAGTAATACCTCTAGATCAGAGTGTTTCTTCTATCCACCCATCCATGCATCCATGTACCTTCCATTGACTGTACACTAGCCATGTGCTATCCTTGTGATATGCAAAAAGGTTATAAACATCAGGGTCCTGCTTTCTCAGAGACTTCTGAATATGTGGAGGTAGAAGAACTCAGCTCAGCTTTTCAGGGTACTCAATGTCTCCTTAAACCCAAACAAGAAGTGGAAAAACTGAAAAATATTAAGAATTAATTCAGGTGATGTATTCTTTTGGACAGTTTCCAAGCAGGGTAATTATCTAAAAGCAGTCTGATATTATATCTCCAGCTTTCCATGCTTGTTAAAATAGTTTTCTTGCTGAAATACTCAATGAGCTAAATTCCATCTAACATCTGGGCATTGTCTAAATAGAGCAATGAAAATATGTCTTGTTGCTTACACACTGGGTATAAATTTCAGAAATCCAATTAGTGTTTTATTCTTTGTGTGTATTTCTCTTTTTCTTTGGTGTTTCAGCTAATTTTGGGATCTTACCTGCAACTATAAGAATTCAAATATTTACCATACAATCATGTAGCAAAAACAAAAACAAAAACAAAAACAAACCTAGACTGAAGAATAGTGTTTTGTGGCATTTCCTAATGATTGTAAGACAGTCATTAATTTCTTTATCCATACAACAAGAGCTTATTTATTTTTATTTTTGTCTTTTGGGTAATTGGCATTTTACCACTGAACCATAACCCCAGCCTTTTTTTTTTTTAATTTTGTATTTTAAGACAGGGTCTTGTGAAGTTATTGAAATTATCACTAAGTTGCAGAGGCTGGCCTTGAACTTGTGATCCTCCTGCCTCAGACTCCCAAGTTATTGGGATTATAGGAGTGTACCACCACGCCCAGCAACAAGAACTTACTGAGTGAAATGTCAAGCCTCAGTGACTAAGGCTGGGCACGAGAATGGGAAAGACAATAAAACACAGTGTTAGCCCTTAAGGAGTTTAGACTTTGGCGAAAGAGACAGATACTTACACGAATAACTTCACTCCAATATCACAATCGCTGAGAGGTACTGGCTCCTAGGCATCATTGATACTCCGTCGGATAGGTTGCACCTTACATTAATGATTATCCTCGGTCCTTTACTGAGCATCTATAACCTCTCAAAATTGAGAAGGCCCTCAAACCAAGAACCCAAGAGGGCAAACCAGTACTCATGGAGCCTACATTATCCATCTGGGTAGGCAGAATCTGCCAAGTGCCCTGCGGATGGATCATTTATTTAGCGATACTAGCAGCAGTTGAGTTTTCACTCTTAGGCTCATTGAAATGATAGTTGAAATCCCATGGTCCATTTTGCATAGATGCAGACATCCTGAATTAAGTCTGCGAAAGCATAATTTTCGCTGACTATATCAGGGCCTACCACAGTGTGCACTCTGCAGGCTTTCAAAAAACTACATTTGATCTTGTGGATTCTGCCACCATTTCATTTGGTGCTAATTACACCCAAATACCTAAACCTCCTATTTAGTTTAAAGGAATCTCATCAACTCTAACTTGCAAAAACTATGAATGGATTTTCGAACACCATTAGACACAAGTTTACCTTTAAAACATTTGAAAGTTTATTTGCACAAGCTGAGTAGTATGAGATGCAACATGATTTGTGGAAGTCAACCACCATGCTATCATTTTAATAGATTATTCCAAATATTAGACATTACAGTTGAAATCTTTTTAACATTAGCTCTAATGTTGGAATAACATTTCAGTTAATAAATAACTGTGAATATAACCATATGTTCAGTCTATTCTCCTTACTTCATCGTGAATTACAATTTTATTGTGATTGGGGTCATAAAAGTGATAAATAATTTATGTATATTCATAAATTGCATGTTGGTTTAATTAATCCTGAAGAGAATCTTGAGATACATCCTAATGGTTGTATAAATTAGGTGTAGTTTTTAGCGCTTTGATTTTCAACATAAACAGGTAACGCTGTAACTGCTTTTCAATTTAGTGTTCACTGCACATACTGTATAATATTTACCTGATATGTATTTTCACAGGCTATCAGTAGCCATTTGGAAAAGTGAGTGGCCACGGTTTTTGATTCTTGAATTAAATGACTTCTATTTAATTCAATTCGGAATCACAGGGTTCAAAAGTCAGTTTCAGTGATTGGAAAAGTATTAAAACACAAATGCAAGCTCACAAAATTTGAGGTAAAGAAAGTGATTCTTGTTACATTACACTTTTCAGAGTATAACCACATTTTCCAGATAACTTTCATGCCATTAACTTATTAGGGAAGACACAATTACCATCAGGTATAAAATATTCCGAATTCACATATTATATGGTGCATAGGCAAAGAATTTATATTGGCTTTTGTATTTTTTTGGATGAGGTTGTCTGCTCAGCCCAGACTGCTATCTTCAGTTGTTACAAAGGCAGTTTATCTGTGTGGGGATGGTATCCACATGCTGCCACAAAGGACGTTGCCAGGATTAATTTTAGCATTTGCATTTGTTATTTCATTTTGGAGTTTCCCTATTGTTACGGAGTTTCAACCAATGCACATGTTGCCTGGATTCGTGGTCTAGAAGAATATTCTATGCTGTTTGGAATCAGAACTCCAATAAAACAGACAGCTCATTTCCATCATATGTATTTTCCAAATATTTCTAATCTTGTAAAATCTTAACACTGGGCAGCAGCTCCAAGTGGTGCCTCTGAGCTACAGCAGAAAAATGCTCATGAGAACTTATGGAAAGTGTCAAATGACAGGAACAACTATTTAGAGGCCAGAAAATAGTTTCTTCCAAGTATAAAAAGCTTAGGACTTTGGAAAGAAAATGTCAGCTTCAACAGGGGGAGATATACATTCACAATTGGGGCTCTTAAGTTTTTAAGAAAGCCTCAAATACTTAAAAAAAAGAAAGACTCTTTTTTTCCCCCCATTTTGATCAACTCTGCATTTTCAGTGTAGGGAGCACCTTCTGATTTGGGGGTGTTTGTGTGCTCTTCCCGAGGGAAGAGGCAGTTGGCATTGTTCCATGGCTGGGTATAATTCATTTATGTCTTCCTTTTTTTTTTTTTTCTCTCTGATCTCTTCTCTCTGTATCTGTCAGCTGTAGTCTCTTGGGAACAGCACTATGCACTTCATTAATAAGAAGGGATTAAAGGAAAAAGCCCGTAGTCTGCTAATACACTTGGATAATTTGGTGCCATCTACAAGGCAGCAGACCCCTGCTGCATAGATGTCATTAGAAAGGTACAATTTCATTACTTTTTACTGGCAGAGCCTTGAGTGAAATACAAAATATGTTGTCTCACATGCAGGGAAAAGGAGCGCATAAGCTTTCATTCACTTCCTACCCTAAATGTAGGAAGAATGCAAAAAACACTTTATGATTTCCATGTTTATATTGCCTTACTTCAGTAATATAGGGAATCATGCTTTTATTAAACATTGAGCAAAATGAAGATGAAAAGGAAATTATCTGCATTCTTAAGCCCCATATGAGATTTATACCTTTTTATTAATTCACACACATGTTTTGAGTACCTACTATGTGTGTGGTGCTCTGCTAGCTGCTAGGAAACAAATTACAAAAACATCATTCACTCTTCTATTTAAATCCCTAACTTACTGAATGCCAAAATTGGAAGTGAGTGTAAAAGTAAGTGCACATGTAGTAAACCATATGGCAGAATAAAAATGATAATAAACCAGTATTTTGTAAGCGTATTCAGAAATCTGTTTATTCCTTGTTAACTAAATTTATTTTTGAACTGACATGTTTGCTGATGGTTGGTATTACCTTTTGAACCACCCTGATCTTAAATCTTTAGTGGTAAATTGTGCAAACATTTGAAATAATGGGCATAAGCCACCTTTGGGAGATTTGCACCCTGGTTTCCATGGGTGCCACCCTGTCCCTGGCATAGTGTGTGGTGTGGCCCTGCCCTGTGCCCCTGAGGAAAGGACCTGTGCTGTAGGCACCTGCTGTGAAATATGCCAGGGGCACTTGCAGGCATCACACTGGCTTGGGGATGCTGGGGGGAATCTTGAGCATCACTCTTTCTTAGCACCAAAGAGAATCAGGTTTAATAGTGGTCCATTATCTCGCAGCCACAGACACACAACTGCCATTAACACTAAAAGGAGACACACGGTTGGAACTATCTTGGGAGAAGAAAGCCCTTGGTTAGGAGCTATTTACAAGCCATTCCTCGCAGTGATGGGTCTTTGCTTTTCTACTACCAGCTTTTGTTCAGTGAAATTGACATTTGCCGCTCTTTGTCTAAGATGAAGTCTAGACTAGACAGTTAAGAGGATAGGAACTGGGGTTTTCAGAGAACATTCTACGAACAAAAAGCAAAGAAGTGCAGGAAAAACAAATTATTTTTAACAAGTAAACTGGTCAGTAATAAAAATATATTAAAGACATCTTAGGTACAATATCTCTACAAATGAAAGGTTTGTCAAATAGCTTTGAAAACTAACTGTTTAGATGTTGTCACCTTCCTATGCTTCCTATGCTGCCGCCATGTCCTGCCTTGTCTGTCATACATTTTAATTCACTCAAATATCATTGCACTTGCAGTAAAGATTATGAAGAAATGTCACAAGAAGTGAGGGAGCAACAGAGTTGGGCCTGGGCAGAACAAATCCACACTTTCTAGAGTGAGCAGGACTCAGGACTCATAACCAATAAAATACCAACTAGTTAAGATCTTGTTGTCAAAACTTTGTCTCTGCTAATGTTTACATAGAGATAATCAAAATTACAAACAAAACCCCCAGTTTTACCAATAAACTAAAAAAAAAAAAAAAGCAAAGTGGTTTAGTGGTTAAAAGTTTAGATTGTTAACTTGTGTGGTGCATTTGAGGATGTGCACTGAAAACAGATCAACCATTTGATACCAGAATACAGATTTCCTTTTGCCTTGTGATTTTTGCATGATGATAACTTTTCCCCACCCCCATTAAGATTTCATAAATATGCTTGTTCTGAATCCAAATAGGTGTCTCTTATGGTTGGGATAATTTATTAGATGAAACTAATAAATATGAAGGATTTCAGAATGTTTTTCTTTTCCAATTTCTGGACTTTAGTTCCACATTACCTTGAATACTGAGGAAGAGGAAGGATTATAATAAATTGGAGTTGGGTTTGAAAGTCAGTATTTGCAATATGAATGGAAACAATTAACAATGATCCTTGTTAATATCCTTTTGCCGAGGTAGTTTATAAATAAGAGATTGCCCATAAAAAAAAACCTTGATGTATTTTATCTCAAGTGTGCATGACCCTGTGACATTCTGCATTTTGTCATTATTCAACTCAATTTAATGGAATAAATTCAAGTGAGAATTGTCAATATCAAGTTCTGGTAAAGGAGAAATAATTTGATAGGTGTGTCTATATATTTTGTAAGGCAAGACTTAGCCCAATCTTGATATACATTTTAAATAGGTTATTAATGAAAGTTCAAAAAACTCTATACCTAGGTAAGCTAGATATATAGTTCCAAAAAGTCTTCTCTTTTTTTGAAATTCACAATAGATTTCTTCCTTTCCTCCTTGGTAAATAACGAAATATTTATTGTTTAGACTGAGTAATATGACATGAAATAACAAATCTGCACATGTCTAATTTATAACAAATCTGTCTCCTTAATGGGTGGAAGGAAATCTGAGGACCGTTCTAAGGGTTCTCTTCTGCTTTCAGTGCTATCTTCTAGTCATACTGAAGACAATACCTCTCCAGATGGGTCTTTCCCTTTCTTCTCCTCTCCCCGGTCAATGTCAATCACATGTACCACTCCAGGTTTCAGAATCAAGTCCTCGGTCTCCACCTGACTCCTGTTGTCCTCCACTTCCATATAGCTTCCTTTTGTTTGCTGGGCAGCTTTGCTGAAGGCTTCCTTAAAACGACGTTTGAGTTCAACATCTGGACAGAAGACATATTCATAAAGACCACCAGCGAGGACAGCTCCTATTATTGGTCCAACCCAGTATATCTGGGGGAAAGATGGAAAAGGATAGAGTGTGAGTAAAGAAAGCTTTTCTGTTGAACAACTCATGAGTACAGAATTCAGCTGGGTTAAATTAAAGAGAGAAAACGTGTCATACATAAAAATGAGGGGAATTTACAAGGAACTAAGAACATACGCCCAATCCACAATAGAAATTCATAAATTATTAAATAACATTTGAATGGAAGACAAAATTTATTTCCTCTCTTGCCTTCCTTTCATTAATTGTATTTTCCCATCTTCTGATAATTGTTTAAATAAAAACACTAGGAATTGTTCAACTAAATTAGAAAAAAAAAAGGAATTTCTGGAGAGTAATTCTCTTATTTACTCAGTATTGCCCTCCTACTTTGGTTTTCTGCATAATCAAGATCATAGTACAGTTTAATATTTGGGGGCTTTAGTTATTCAGTAGAGCATGGCAAATAGAATCCCAGTTCTATCACTTAATAATTTTGTGAGTGCTTACATCTGTGGCTTAATTTCTTATGCCTTAATTTCCTCATCTGCAAAGTGGGGATTATACTAATACAGACATAATGTGAAGATTAAATGAAATAATCCTGATAAAGTATTTAATAGGTCCCAGTTTATAGTAACCAGCACCATCCTATGCTTCTTAGATAATTTAAAGACGTAGGCGACTATACTGGTTATGTTATTATTTTTCTCACATTCCTTACTTTTTCTCTTTAAAATCCAGTGATTTGATTTAATAAAAAAAACCCATGGTTTATTCATTTCTCTTATTGTAGAGAGTTCTCCTTTCCATGGAGGCTTGGTGAATAGAGACTGTATTTATGGATGATAGCTAGTCACAGTCGAGCAATTTTGCAGAAATGCAATAAATGAAGCTTTTATCATATCACTTATATGCCTTGAATAAACTAAGTTTTGAGTCTGAATGAACCACAACAATTGTTTCAGAGTACAGATATGCTGTAGGGTATTAGATGCACTTTCAACAGGTTCACTTAGAAAACAAATCCTGTTAGTTGAACCCTCTTTCTGAGCTGCTGTAATTGGCACTTTTCTTGTATCACCTCATTTAATTCTAACAGTAACCTTTGAGATAGATTTTATTATTAATATCTGCATTTTATAGAGAAGACAACAGACAGTCTGAGAGGGTAAGAAACTTGCTTAAGATTTCATGCTTAGCAAGTGGTTGAGCTATAATTTCAGGTCTAACTTCAAACCTCTCTTTTGAACCATTATACGGTTTTCTACTATACAATACTTCTTTCACTTGAACAAAAATGTGATAAATGTTTCTTGCTTAAAACAGCCTCTGGAAATTAATCATTCCTAGCAGCCTCCTTGTGAAATCTAAAGAAAATTCAAGCTTTTAGCTGAGACTGAACACATGTTCTTAACAGGGAAACTGTTGCATAGATTGACTAGAAGAACCAAGCTCCTTATCCTGAATGTGAAAAGCCTGTGGGTGACTTTATCTTCTACATGCCCTCTAAAGGAGAAATGAGAGACCTCCTCTAAGTGTCTTTGCTCTTTGTTCCTTTGGCAAGAGCTCATTAGATTAGTGCCAGTTCAAGGCTCCAAATCCCACAGGAGAACAGGCAATGCTAAATAATTGTTACTGTTTCCCAAAACACCTATGAAGGGCACAGCTAGCTGCATGTTCTCAAAAGTAAACAAATCTCAGTGCTAAGTCACTATTCCAAAATGAAGGAATATGTACTTTAAAGTGACTTTTTAAATTTTGCAGGGTTTTTTTTTGTGCAAAAAATATAGAAAATATGTAGAAGTATAAAGAAAACAAAAATTATGTTGTTATACAAAAATCACAGTTTGTAATTTGATGGTATTTCTAGTCTACAAAG